AACCTCCTGCCAACCCAGAAAACCCCTCAAAAAGCTAAGAGAGAAAGAAAACAGTTTATTTCCAAATCAGCACTAAACCAGAATGTGACCTGCATCCCAGGCAGTCCTCTAAGGGATTGCAAAGACAGAAAGAAATTTCTCCCACAGACACAGCCAAGCAGGGGCGAGTCATGACATACATGGTCTCAAGCGGAGCCATCACCAGTCTTCCTGGGACAGAAACCAACAGCCTTGGTCATACAATCGTGCCTCCTCCAGCCACCTGGGAACCGGGTGACCCTCTGTATTAGTTCATCAGCTTTATGCAAGGAAAAAAAACAAACTTATCTTTATGACAGGTAGTTTTGCAACTGAGAGAGGGGCCCCCACAGCAGGTTAAGCTCCTACCCTCCCCCCCACAATCTGGAGAAACCCTCCCCCCGCCCCCCATGATTGCTTTTCAAAGGGTTAGCTACCAGCAAAGACTTCTGGTGAGAAAGCAAGAAGGTGCTTTCCTTAGCTTTTATGGAGGTTTACTTACGTTTCAAAGGATAGAGAAAGGGTTTATAAACACAAGTTCTCTAAAGAAAATGCTCCCCAAAAAAGGGGGAGGGGGAGAAATCTGTTTCCTTATTTTCAAAAGGGAGAATGAAAACTCTTCCTCTGGATGTGATTTGCCCTTACACCTATAAACAAAGTAAATGTCAAGGGACCCGCTGTAAAAAGCTTGAGACCCACTTCCAAACTAAGTGTGAAATCAAAACTGGGAGATGGGAGCACCTGGGTGGCTCAGTCTGTTGAGCATCCGCCTTAGGCCTTCAGCTCAGGTCATGATCCCAGGGTCCTGGGATGGAGTCCCGCATCAGGCTCCTGGCTCAGGGGTGAGCCTACTTCTCCCTCTGTTGCTCCCCCCACCCCCCTGCTTGTGCTCAGTCTCTCCGACAAAAAAAAAAAAAAAAAAAAAAGAGTGGTGCCTGGGTGGCTCAGTTGACTAAGCGTCTGCCTTTGGCTCAGGTCATGATCTCAGGATCCTGGGATCGAGTCCCGTGTCGGGCTCCTGGCTCAGCAGGGAGTCTGCTTCTCCCTCTGCCTCTGCCCCTCCCCCCACTTGTGCTCTCTGGCTCTCTCTACCTTTCTGTCAAATAAATAAATAAAATATTAAAAAAAAAACTCTAAAAATAATCTACATAGACAACACTTCATTATCACCATTAACAAAACGATCATTTCTTTGTATCTAGTCCAAATCTATATTTACTTTAATTATCCCCCAAATGTTCTTTATAGATGGTTGTCCTAACCAAGATCCAACACAAGCCATGTGTTGCATGGCTTCTTATTTTGTAAATATTATACCCTAAAAGTGACTTTATTTTGGGGGTGTGCAGTTCTATAAATCTTAGCATCCGTATAGTGTTACGGGAATAAATTGTGTCCCACCTTCTTTTTTTTTTTTTTTAAGATTTTATTTATTTATTTGAGACAGAGAGAATGAGAGACGGAGAGCATGAGAGGGAGGAGGGTCAGAGGGAGAAGCAGACTCCCTGCCGAGCAGGGAGCCCGATGCGGGACTCGATCCCGGGACTCCAGGATCATGACCTGAGCCAAAGGCAGTCGCTTAACCAACTGAGCCACCCAGGCGCCCTGTGTCCCACCTTCTACTTATATGTGGAAGTCCTGACTTCCAGGACCTCAGAAGGTGACAGTACTTGGAGACGGGGTCTCTAAAGAGGTAATTAAGGTACAACAAGGTCATGGGATGGGCCCTACGCCCATCTGACTGGTGTCCTTATGAGAAGAGATTAGAGGAACACCTGGGTGGCTCAGTCGGTTAAGCATCTGCCTTTGGCTCTGGTCATGATCATAGGGTCCTGGAATCGAGCCCCGCACCTGGGGAGTCTGCTTCTCCCTCTCCCCACCCTCCCCCCATGCTCTGTCTCACTCTCTCATGCTCTCTCTCTCTCAAATAAATAAAATCTTTTTTAAAAAAGAAGAAGAAGAAATTAGACACACACAGAGGGACGTCCAGGTGAGGATTTGGGGAGAAGACAGCCGTCCGCACACCACCAATGAGAGTCGTCTTGAAGGAACAACTTTGCCAACACCTTGAACTCAGACTTCCCGGCTTCACAACTGTGAGGGCATCAATTTGTTGTTTCAGCCACCTAGCCCGTGGGATTTTGTGACAGCAGCCCAAGCAAAAGGGTACAGTAGTAATCGAGACCGTGTTTAAAAAACAAAACAGGGCGTCTGGCTGGCTCTGGCGGCTGAGTCTGCGACTCTTAATCTCGGGGTCGTGAGTTCAGGCCCAACGCTGGGCACAGATCTTATTTAAAAATTTAAAAAAAGGGCTCCTGGGTGGCTCAGTCGGTTAAGAGACTGCCTTCGGCTCAGGTCATGATCCTGGAGTCCCAGGATGGAGTCCCACATCGGGCTCCCTGCTCAGCAGGGAGTCTGCTTCTCCCTCTGACCCTCCTCCCTCTCATGCTCTCTGTCTCTCATTGTCTCTCTCGCAAATAAATAAAAATCTTAAAAAAAAAAAATAAAAAAAAAAAAACCAGTCTTGGCTGTTTTCGAAACATGGGTTTTATTATTGTTCAGGTGTGATGAGGCCAGCAGTTCAGCCAGTGACGGGCACTGAAAAGTCGGCTTGTCTGTCTGTCTGTCTGGAATGTGGTATTATCGTCAGGTGCGGGACCCACGACTCAGCAGTGAACGCCCTGAGAAACTATCACCACCCCAGTCTGCTCGCCATCCGTCACCACAGACCTACGATGAGAAGGTCGTCCGTCACTCGCGGCTCTGGACCACCCACGGCCACTCAGGGAAGCACCAGCGGCCATTGGGAGGACAGGGAGAAAGGGGGAAGTGTGGGCAAGTGTTTATTGTGGTTCCATCGGGAAGAAAGAGGCGAGGCAGGGATGCAGGCTGAGGACGGGCTAGCGTGAATAAGTGCGCTAGTCTGGGGTGTAGGGGCTACCCGTACTTGCATTGGTCCTTGGGCCTGGGGTGTCAGAGCAGGGGGACAGTGGCCCGAGAGTGAAAGCCCCATGGAGGAGGGGGTGGGGGCAGGCTCTGAATTGGCTGGTTTGCACATAAAAGGTGTGCTCTGAGCAAGCTGTTTCCCCGCGTCCGGGACCCCCGAGGGGCCCCAGATGTGGAAGCATCAGAATACGGAAAATCAAAGGCATACGTTGGTGAGGATGGGGAGAAATCGGAGTGGCTGCCCAGGGTTGGTGGGAAGGGAAAGGGTGCAGTGGCTGTGGAAATGTCCAGTGGTTCCTTAAGCAGTTAGACATAAAATGACCCTGTGACCCAGCGATTCCAGGGGTAGGTATACACCCCCAGGAGCTGGAAACGGGGTTCCAAGAGATACTTGTACATCAGTGTCCATTGCAGCGTGATTCACAAGCAGAAGATGAATGAGGGGACGCGCACAACGCGGCCACCACCCCGGGATCGGCAGTCAGCCGCGAACAGGAGCCCAGGCCCCAACTCTGCTCCCACCTGTAGAGGCCCCAGGCCCAAAGCTCCTTCCCCGATGGTCGGTCACAGCTCCTGCTTCTCCCCCTGCCCCTGCATCTTCGGAATCATTCCGACGAGCCAAGCTCATCCTCCCCAGGAACCGGGGTGGCCCCCGCATCACTGCGAAGCCCGCCTCCTGCAGCCCCTGGGGTCACTCTGTCCCCGAGTGCGTCCCCCGCGTGGCCCAAGGGGCCTGTGGTATCCTGCTCCCCCAGGCTGTGAGTCCATGTGACCAATAAATGGCTTCGGGTCTCGTCTGCCCAGTGTTGGGTGCTGTGTGTTGGCTGTCCCCGTGACCTTGGGGTGGGGGTCCCTCGCTCACCAATGGGTCAGAGGGAAGCAATGAGAACAGATGGTATCTCACGATGCCTGTGTATTCCTCTGGACCAGCCGACTCTGTGCACAACGATGGATGAGACCACGATGGGTCATCCTCATGCCCTCAGCACAGGGAGAGCGGGGTCAATGCATGAGGGGGCATTACAAGTGGAAAACAGGGCCGCCTGGTGGCTCAGTCCCCTGAGCACGTTTGTCCCAAGGGGTGTGCGGTGACCCCCGCTCTGGAGCTCCGCGCTCCTTCCAGGGGCTCCCCGCCCCACACGTGCCCCCGCTGCATCTGCTGACGAAGGGCGAATGGTGGCCCCAGGGTCCCCACCCGCTGTTCGTAGGGCGCCGTGGGCCTGCACCCCACCTGTGCTCTGGGGCGAAGCTCCCCAGCGCGGCTTGCGCAGGATGGTTCGCCGGGAGGATCCATCACGCTCGACTATCCCAGGGCTTGGCTTTTGGATCACCATTTACTCCTGATTTCTCTTCCAGAGACTCATTCAGTGCAAGGAATGTTGTGGAAATGTCTACTTGTGGGAATGTTCCAGAAAAAGATGTCTGAGTTAGGTTTACGGTGGAGCTGGCAAAGGCCGGCGTGCGGGCCAAATCCCACCCACTGCCTACTTCGGTGGAAGCTGCGCTGGAACACAGCCCGGCCCTTCCTCAGGGACTGGCTGTGGCTGATCTCGGGGTGCAGTGGCAGAGCCAAGTGGCTGCCCCAGAAAACGCCGCAGAAAGCCAGACGGAGGGACCAGCAGGCCTCTGACAGGAGAAGTTTCTGCTCGCTTCCTCCCAGTTCATACTTTACACAGACTTTTTCCCGAGATACAATACGTCTGGATCAAAAGCCATGTCTCTCGCATATCTCTCCTGCTCCTTTGCTTCCTCCCTACCTTCTGGTACTGACTTCTCCAACAGCAGAGGATAGGACCTGCCCCATTGTGAATCTTACCATTTGCATGCCATGGAACATCTTTTCTCCCAAAATACACCATTTAGAAGTTGGCTTCTTGTTTGTTTGCTTTTTTTTTTCTAAGCAAACTCTCTGCACCCAATGTGGGGCTCAAACTTACGACCCTGAGATCAAGAGTCTCATGCTCCACTGACTGATCCGGCCGGGCGCCCCTGGCTCCTTGATTTTAAGTTGTTTCCTCCACTCTAAAATAAAATAGACAAACATATATATATATTTAAGGTCTTAGAAAAAAAGATACAACACTTAACAATAAAAAGATCAAAACAGGGGCACCAGGATGGCTCAGTTGGTTGGGTGTCCAACTCTTGGCTTCGGCTCAGGTCGTGATCTCAGGGTCCTGGGATCCAGCCCCGTGTCAGGCTCCCTGCTCAGCGGGGCATCTGCTTGAGATTCTCTCCCTCTTCCCCTCCCTCAGCTCATGTGCTTGCCTCTCACTCTCTTTCAAATAAATAAACCTTCAAAAATTTTGTAAAATAAAAAGACCCAAACAAATGAAAAATGGACAACAGATTTTAATAGATATTTCTCCTAAGAAGACATACAAATCGCTAATAAGCAGATGAAGAGATGCTCAGCGTCACTATTCATTAGGGAAATGCACAATTATAACAACACACCACTCCACACCCCCTGGGATGGGTATTATCAAAAAGACCGATGATGACAAGTGCTGACCAGGACACGGAGACGTTGGAGCGCTCTGTACACCGCAGCTGTGAATGTATAAATGGTGCAACCCTTTGGGAGACATTCTTTCTGCATAGAAAGTCGGACGTGGAGTTACGACACGATCCAGCAAGTCCACTCCCAGATATATACCCACTAGAATTCCAAGCCAGGACCCAGGAGGAATGAAAACATGTCTGCGCGAAAACGTGTTCATGCCTGTTCGCAGCGGCATGTTCACCACAGCCCGAAAGCTGAAACAACCCAAATGGCCATCAGCTAATGCATAAACAAACGTGTCCCTCCATACACTGGAACGTTATTCAGCCATAAAAAGGGAGTGAACATTGATAAAAGCAAGCCTTATTAAAATGGAGGCCAGCAGGGGGCGCCCTCGTCCCTACCCTGGTCCCCCAGGCCGACCAGGGAGGAAGCCCAGCACCCTGCTGGGACCTCACTGCCCCAGCAACAGCCCAGCCAATGAGATGTGGCCACAGCTCAGCCAATGAGAGATGGTCACAGCCCAGCCAATGAGAGATGGTCACAGCCCAGCCAGTGAGAGACAGTCATAGGCCAGCCAATGAGAGATGGCCACAGCTCAGCCAATGAGAGACACTCACAGCCCAGCCAATGAGAGACAGTCACAACTCAGTCAATGAGAAGCCACGCCATGTGGAATCCCGTTTGCTCCAATGGGCATTTTCTTTGGAACAGCCCCGCCCATGTCCCCTTCTCTATAAAAGAGTGGTCCTCCCTTCCTTCTCCAGACTTACCTGTGGCTTGGTTGTGGCTTATGTGTCCCATATTACGGTTCTCCGTTATTCCCAGATGAACCCATTTTTCCTGGAAAAATAACTGGCGAAGTTTTTTGTAAGATTTTATTTATTTATGTTGAGAGAGGGAGAGAGAAAGAGCACAAGCAGGGGGTAGGGGCAGAGGGAGAGGTCAGGAGCAGACTCCCCGGCGAGCAGGGAGCCCACATGGGCTCCATCCCAGCACCCTGGGATCAACACCCCAGCAGAAGGCAGATGCTTAACTGTCTGAGCCACCCAGGCACCCAAGGTCAACATTCCTTGGTCATCATGCATGGACCCAGAGAAGATCCCACCTCTCCAAGCTGCTGAGCAAACAGGTGCGGGTCCCACAGAGCCCACTGCGCTCACTGCTTTCTCCCCCACCCTGAGCTGGAGGGCAAGTTTTGTCCTGGGATCAGAGCCCCGCTCCCTGACTGCACTCTGCAGGGTCTACAGGGACCTGAGTTAGGGGCTTCTCCTCTCTGACACTACTCATTGGGCTTTTGTTCCCCTCCTTTTCAGAATTGGACTGTTCCTCTCAGATCTGCGCCCTTTGGAAATGCGCTGGCCTTTGGTCTGACTCCTGTTGAAACGGTGTTCTTCGGGACATTTTCCTTTTTCTTCTAGAGAAAACCCTCTAAGAAATGGGATCTCAGTCATCAAAATGCTTTTTGGGCATCACCTCCTTCTTTCAGTTGTAAAAACTGGGCCCCCTGCTCATGTGCCTGTCTAATTAAGTGGACTGAACCAAAAGAGACCTAAAACTTCAGTGGTCCTTCTGGGGACCTTTCCGTCTCCCCAAACTTGTTTTACTCAAAATTAAGTGAGAAAGTTGTGGTTGCAAAACAACAACAAACCAATAACAAAAACTGAATGGATGCCCACTTTAACTAGTACCTGAGGCTTCCCAGCATTTTCAGGATTCTAGCTTTGGCTCTTTGCAAATTACTGGTTCTAAAATAACTGCGGAGGGGGCGCCTGGGTAGCTCAGTCGGTTAAGCGGCTGCCTTCAGCTCGGGTCATAATCCCAGGGTCTTGAAATCGAGCCCCACGTCCAGCTCCCTGTTTGGTGGAGAGCCTGCTTCTCACTCTCCCTCTGCCTTTCTCCCCAACTTGTGCTCTCTCTCTCTCAAATAGATAAATAAAATCTTTAAAAAAAATTAAAAAAAAGTGGGGCACCTGGGTGGCTCAGTCTTAAGCGTCTGCCTTCGGCTCAGGTCATGATCCCGAGGTCCTGGGATCGAGCCCCGCATCGGGCTCCCTGCTCCACGGGAAGCCTGCTTCTCCCTCTCCCACTCCCCCTGCTTGTGTTCCCTCTCTCGCTGTGTCTCTCTCTGTCAAATAAATAAAATCTTAAAAAAAAAAAAAAAGAATTAAGAGGATTGCTTTTAAAAAAATAAAATAAAGTAACTGTGGCCAAAGATAAATAAATAACTGTGGCCAAAAAACCATCGAAAGGTGTTTGATACCTCTACCCCATCCCCACCTCCTGTGTACCCCACCCTCATCCTAATCGTTTCCCTGAATGTCCCTTTTCCTCTGAATTTTGCCCCGATCCTTCCTTTCCTGAACCTGTTAAAATGGGTCCCTTTACAGTTAAGTCTTCTCAGGATCCCATCAAACCCCATGTTTCTTATGTCCCCTGGACTAAGGCCAAATTTTGAGCCATAAAGTGTTTCCTAAAGTGACTGAGGATCCCCATAGGTTTTGTGAAGAATTTAACATAGTTATTCAAACCTACAAACCTGGTTTCTCAGATTTATATCAACTAGTCCACATGCTTATTGGCGAGGGTCAAGCCACACACGGGACGAAGCCAGCCCGATTGCAGCTCCCTGAAAGGGACTTAAATAAGCAAACTCCTAACCTTTGGCAAATGTTAGAACACTTGCTGGAAATCTCCAAGAAATTAAAGTAGCTTCTCCTAAGCCAGCTGAATGCAACAGACCTCAGGCTTGCACAGAACCTGCTCTGAGAGTCTGACAGTCAACTTCAAATTGTCCTCCAAAGGACTTTTGGTCCTCCTATAGACACTGATCCAGCCAGGTAGCATTTAAATCTATGTTTATTAAGGGGCTAAACTGGGATCTTCTCCTTTAGTTAAAAGGACCCTCCGCTGACAAAACGAGATAGACTTCAATGTTGGAAGAGACTGATGGCTTCTATTCAAAACAACCATGGTTTGGGAGAGCAATCTTCACGGCGCCCCCCCAGGGGAGGAAGACGTCAGCAGGACCCCAGCCACCTGGAGAGGTCGTCCCCTGAAAAGACACTTCCAGGTTCTGGGATCTGGCCAGCTGCCCAACTCTGGGCCTGGGAAGGAGGCGCCTCCATCTTTGGGGAAAAGGAAGGTCCTTTTGAGGAAGGAGGTTTTGATTCTCCACTCACCTGTGACCAACTCCAGAGAAACCAGCAACCTTCCATCTTCTGCGTTCCCCTCGTGGGGATGCACAAGGTGCCAGGCGGGCGGGGACGGAGGGGCCATGCAGCCCCCATCCTCCCCTAGTCCTCGAGGGTGCCACACTCAGGGCCTGCATGGCCCATGGAGGGGCCGCAACATCCCCATTTTGCAGATTAGCTCAGAGTGATCTGGCTGCTGACTAGGCCAGGGTGGCCAATGAACTCAGGAATGGGGTTCTGGGATTGCCCCCCCCCCCGAAAACTCCCTCCCCATCTCAGACACCAGTGGGCGGGGCACTGGGGCCTTCCTCCAGCCAGCCTCGGGCATGACCATGAAGCATCCACCACCGTGTGATGGGACGGTGCCCACGCGCCCACACCACCAAGACTAGCGACCCTCCAGGGGCACCAATCCGGGGACATCGGCAGCGGATCGCTGCTGGGCTGAGCAGTGGCAATTCAGGAATGCCACCCATCATCCCATGGCCCCTCTGGGGAGTGAGCTTTCTGGAGGCCCGTCTGAACCGTTAACACTGACCTACGGCGTCAATCAGACACCAACCTCCGACCCTTCCCCATCCCGGGGAAGGAGGCTTAATGTGAAAGCCACTTGACCTTGAAAATGGAGCAGAGCCTTGTTAACGAGGCACCACCACCTCTGAGCAGTGACGCGGTCATGGGGGTGACAGCCGGGCAGGTGAGCTCATTAAATTTTCGTCATGAGCCACTGCAATTAGTCATCTCGGGCCACTAAAACGGATACCACAGACAGAGCAGCCTGAACAGCAGACGCCTGCTGTCCTGGTTCTGGAGGCCAGGAGTCCGAGCCCCAGGGGTGGGCGGGGCTGGCTTTCTAGACGTCCCCCACCCCCACCCCAGCTGGTGAACGGCCCCTCCCGCGCCTCCCCGCACCCCTGCCCCAGGAGTCAAGGTGTCCCCTAACCCCTTTTTCTTCTAAGGACACCGGTCAGATTGGATGGGCGCCCACACTAACCACCTCATTTTACCATAATCACTCTTTAAAGACCCTTTCTCCAAATAAGGCCACACTCCGAGGCCCTGGGGGTCAGGGTTTCCACGTAGGAATTGTGGGGGACACATTTCAGCTCGTAAGCCCTGCAAAGGGGAGACTCTGATTTTGACTCAAGAATGAGAGGCGCTGGTTGGATAAGAAGCCAGCCCAGTCATCAAAATGCTTTTTGGGCATCACCTCCTTCTTTCAGTTGTATGGGAGGCATAAATCCAGGTCTGTCCAGACACGGGTCGTGGCTTCGCCTCCTGCGGCAGGTCCAGGTCCTGCTGGGGTGGGAGACTGGCACACAGACTTTCCCCATCTGAGAAGTGGGCCCTGTCTCAGTCCTTTCCGGCTGCCATCACAGAATACCACAGACCTGTCTCGTGGTTCTGGGGGCTGGAGCAGTTCAAGGTCAAGGCACTGGTGGACTCGGAGTCTGGTGAGGGCCCACTTCCGAGTCCCTGGATGCCCATCGCGGTGCGGTGGGAGGTGTGAGTGAGCTCTCTGGGATCACTTAGAGGAGGTGTTAATCCCTCTCCTGGGGGCCCCACCCTCCTGACACCCCCACACTGGGGGTCATGTTTCAACACAGGCATGTAGGGGGGACCCAAACCTTCAGACCACAGCAGATACTAAGCGTGGATGTGAAAGGATCAAAGCAATGAGAGTTTACAGTTGCACAAACACTGCACTGAAGGGCCGGAGAGAATAAATTTCATCCTGACCACACGCGGGATACAACGCAGCACGGTGAATCGGTGAGAATCCACGCGGATGCACGTGGTACTGGATTCGTAAGAAATATGCGTTGTGGGGGCACCTGGGTGGCTCTGTCCGTGAAGCGTCTGCCTTTGGCTCAGGTCATGGTCCCGGGGTCCTGAGTTCAAGCCCCACGTCAGGTGTACAGAGGACTTAAATATATATTTAGGTGACCAAAACATATTCCTCATATATATGTGGTCTTGTCCATAGCTTGTGGCCCACAGCTCCTAAAACCCTTGGAATTTCCTAGAAGGTTGATTTTGTTGTCTTGTTATGCTAAGGAGGTGACTTTTGGAAAGCCCTTATGTGACCTTAGGATGGGGATAGCTGCCAGGAGAACTTTCAGTCCCACCCCACCTATCTCAACCTGGGGGGGGCGAGGGCGGGGGTGGGAGTTGTGCTGGAGGCTGAGGCAGCCAAAGCGTACGACTTAGTCAATCAGGGTGACGTCATGAAGCCTCCAAGAAAACCCGGGACGACAGGTTTTTGGCATTTTTATTGTGACAGCTTTCTCCCGTGGGAGCCAGAACGTTCCCACGTGCTGCTGAGCAGGTCCCGAGCTGAGCTCTGCAGGGACAGAAGCTCCTTTGTTTGGGACCTCGCCCTACGCACCTCATCTCTTCATGTGGCTGATGATTCAGTCTTGCACAAATCGGGAAACATGCTTCTCTGAGTTCTGTGTAAATTAATGGAACCTGAGGAAGAGGTGGTGGACCCGGCTGGGGTCTGAGAGCTGCTCGGGGTTATGGGGGACCAGCCCCTCCCCACATGGCAATTGGGCCCAGGAACCCTAAATGAATGTGGAAAAGTATCCAGGTGGGAGAACAAAGAGAGACCTCTCTTTGGCCCCAGGAGGGCCTTCGACAGCCGCCCCCCACCCTCCAGCCTCCATGCCAGGGACCCTTTCCTGCCTTAGGTCTTGAGCCGGTCTGCAAGGAGCACAAAGGCCGCCACCCCACGCCCTCGGGGAGCAGGAGACCTGGTCCCGGCCAATCCCGAAGGCTCTCCCACCCTGCTTCTGCTGCTCTCCTCGGGGCAGCCTCTCCCAGCTGCTGTGAGCAACTTCCTGTCTGGTCTCTGTCACGTACCCCTCCCCTGACCCACTCCACTCCTCCCTCTGGCCCTGAGTCCCAGCCTCAAACCTGCAACATCCAGGGTCCCACCATCCCCGACAGGGAGGACCCGGTGCTCCGTCCTCCATGCCCACCCTGCCTTGTCATCACCTGAGTTTCCCCTCCACTGTGTGAAACGGTAGGTTCAACTGCCAAGCCTCTGCTACCTGAGCCCGCGACCTTCCTGGAACCAGGGTCTCTGCAGAGGTCATTAGTTAGGAGGACATCAGATGGGAGAGGGCAAGCCTCTATCCAGTGCCTGGTGTCCTTACCAGACCCAGGACGGCCAGCAGCCAGCCCAAGAGAGGAAAGGCAGGAAGGACCCTCCCCAACCCCGGAGCCTTCAGAGGAAGCATGGCCCCACAACACGTGGATCCGAGACCCACCACCTCCAGAACTGGGACAGGCTAAGTTCCTTTGCTCCACACCATCCCGGTCAGTGGGCCTTCCCATGCCCAGACCATGCGTCTTCCTACCCAGAACCCCCAGCCAACACCCTTGTCCCCCAGCCATGCCCTCCCTTCCTGGCACACAGACCACCTGAAAGGCCCCGACTGTCAACCGCGGGCTCACAAGTGCGATCCACACCCACCCCAGCAGCCTGGGCTCCACCACCTGCACCTGCACCTGCCCCCGCCCCCGGGGCCCCCAGGATCCAGGAGAGACAGAACCGACGGCCAGACTTCACTCAAATCAAAACCTCCGGGTGTGTGGGACGGACACTGAGAGAGGAAAGACAGGCTGGAGACTGGAGGATATGCTTGTGGAACATACGTATTGATAGAGGACGTGTTTCTGAAAACACACAAAGAATCCTTAAGGCTCAGCAACAAGAAAACAAGTGATTCCATCACCAACGGGCAGAGGATCCGAACAGACTCCTCGCCAACAATGCATCGAGGGCAAAGAGCACATGGAAAGATGCTCCCCCTCCCACGTCATCGGGGACATGGGAGTGAAAGCATTAAGGAGCCACCAGCCCCGGCCGGCCAGAATGCCCCATATCCGGACACCGCCGCTGGGCCCAAGTGCCAGCAAGGAGATGGTTCAGCAGCAAGGCTGGCCGGCCACTCCTCAGTCACTGATGACTTCTGACACAACTGAACACGCTCCTAGCCCACGATCCAGCCATCGTGCTCCTCGGCGTTTACCCGAAGGAGTTGAAAACACGTCCGCACAAAAACCTCATGCATGGATGCTTACAGCAGGTTTATGCATAGCTGCCAAACTCTGGAACAGTCAAGATGTCCCTCGGTAGGTAAGTGGATAAATGAACTGTGGGACAGTTAGACGAGGGAATATTACTCAGCACCGAAAAGCCATGAAAAGACACGGCAGAATCTCAAATGCATATCACTCAGTGAACGAAGCCAGTCCAGAAAGGTTAATGCTACGATTCCAACTCTACGACATTCTGGAAAAGGCAAAACTATGAAGACAGCACGGAAATCGGCGGTTGTGGGGGGGTGGGGGGGGTCAGTGAGAAGGAAGGGATGTGTGGACAGGCAGAGGACAGGGACGTGGAGGGCACTGAAGCAGATACAACACGTCATTACACATCTGTCCAAACCCATGGAATACAGCGCTGTGAACCCTAACGTCCACAATGGACTTCAGTTAATAATCTATCGATATCGGCTCACCACCCATGGTAACAAATGTACCAGGAATGCAAGATGTTCACGACAGAGGAAAGGCAGGGTAGGGCCTATGAAGAAAACAGTACCTTCTGCTCAAATTTTCTCTAAATCTAAAACCACTCTAAAACATAAAGTCTACTGGGGCGCCTGGGTGGCTCAGTCGTTAGGCGTCTGCCTTCGGCTCAGGTCATGATCCCGGGGTCCTGGGATCGAGCCCCGCATCGGACTCTCTGCTCAGCGGGGAGCCTGCTTCTCCCTCTGCCTCTGCCCCTGCCCCTGCTTGTGCTCTCTCTCTCACAAATAAGTAAAATCTTAAAAAAAATAAAGTCTATTAATTTAAACAAAAATTCAAACACAATTAAGATTATATTAGAGGTGCCTAGGTGGCTCAGTTGGTTAAGCGTCCAACTCTTGATTTCGGCTCAGGTCAGGATCTCAGGGTCGTGAGATCGAGCCCCGTGTCAGGCTCTGAGCTGAGTAGTTGGTTTGGGATTCTCTCCCTCTACCCCTCCCCCCACCCACTTGCACTTGCACACTCTCTCTCAAAAAAAAGAAAAAAAGATATTATACATACTGCTTTGTAACATTTTTATTTAACAATACAACATTTTCGGGGCGCCTGGCTGGCTAGGTCAGTGGAACATGAAACTCTTGATCTCGGAGTTATGAGTTCAAGCCCCATGTTGGGTGTAGAGATGACTTAAAAATAAAATCTTTAGGGGCGCCTGGGTGGCTCAGTCGTTAAGCGTCTGCCTTTGGCTCAGGTCATGATCCCAGGCTCCTGGGATCGAGCCCTGCATCGGGCTCCCTGCTCCGCGGGAAGCCTGCTTCTCCCTCTCCCTCTCCCCGTTTGTGTTCCCTCTCTCGCTGTGTCTCTCTCTGTCAAATAAATAAGATCTTTTAAAAAATTAAAAAAAATAAAAACTTTAAACAATACATTTTCCTGTGTTGTCAGATAATCTACAATATAATTTATTTTTATTTTTTTATTTTTATTTTTATTTTTTTTAAAGATTTTATTTATTTATTTGAGAGAGAGAGAATGAGAGAGAGAGAACACATGAGAGGGGATAGGGTCGGAGGACGAAGCAGACTCCCTGCCGAGCAGGGAGCCCGATGCGGGACTCGATCCAGGGACTCCAGGATCATGACCTGAGCCGAAGGCAGTCGCTTAACCAACTGAGCCACCCAGGCGCCCCTACAATATAATTTTAATGACTGGTTCATAGTTTTAAAAGAGGATAGCTATATGAAGGACAATACCATTTGCATTTAGGTAAGCTCTCCAAAACCACTCAGAAGCTCCATACGCGCTGTTCAAGGATGAGGGCACAAGAGGTAAAAGTAATGACATGACCTGGAAAAATACACAAGCATAATAAACACTGCATACCCCTGGGAAGGGAGGAAGGGGTTCCAGAGAGAGCTTCAAACACAAACTTTACATTTCTATGCATCAGAAACGCCCGGGTTACATTTTATTAAATCTGGATGGCAAATATAGGGAATTTATTATATTAGCCTCTGAGCTGCCCTTTGTTTGAACTACTTCACACTAAACAAGAAATAACATGCAGATGGAAGGAAGTATTTTAAATGCCCTGAACACAAGATTCAAGAATTAAACTGGCATTTGCAAATAATTTTGTGATGAAAATTCACCACTGATAATGATGAGGATTTGCCATCTGTCGGGATTTGCTCTGTGCCCTTCTGCACGTGCCAGACGACTATAACGATCCCAGCTGCACAGATACAATGCCTACCACGTGCGGAAACTGCCGGAAGTCCTTATGAATTAGCCCCGGTCAATGCCTCCCCAGGCAAAGCCCACCAGGAACACACCTGTGGCTCAGCACAGCAGTTTATCACTCCTGGTGGCCAGAGAAAACACACAGCATTGCAAACCGTGGGATGGCGCAGTAAGAGGGTGCTAGGAAGGACTTACCACAGGGTTTAAACTTAGGTTTGGGAATACTGAGGAAGGCTTGAGAGAGCCAGGCTTTGCTTGGGATTTTGGGTGCTGCCCCGAAGCTGGAGTAATTCTGTGATGGCCTATCTCATCTACAGGAAGGGGAGGCTGTGACTGACAAAGCAGCAGCCCTCACTCCCACCAGCGGGGAGAGGGATGGGATGATCTTTGCTGTGATTCCAGCAGTCTGCCTTCTAATAAGGGGTTACAGAATGTTCTGTGTTTGTCCCGATCCATAAGGATCAAAGGGTGGCTTCACCTGATGTTGACAGCCTGTTAGAGTGTTTATGCTCATCAGGAGAACATTTCTGCCCAGCTGTGCCCAGGTGGGTTCCCCAACCTCAGAGGCTCCCTCTCTGCTTCTTACTCATTTAATCACCACCACGACCTAAGAGGCAGGTATTAGTTACTGTGAAGCCCATGGTACAGCTGAAACACGGCCAGAGAGGTCACGTCGCTTGCCCAAAGTCACACGGCTAACAGGTGGCAGTGGTGGGGTTTGATTTCCATCACCTGGTTCCAAAATCCAGGTCCTCACCCACCCCGACAACCTGCCCATCACTCAGCGTTTCAAGGTTTGGGCCTGACCAGCTCTTCACCACCGCCTGTCTCAGCCTCTGCTTGGTCTTGACCAAGACTTGATTCAGGCTTTTGTCATTCCCGCAGGACCCTGCACTTGTCCCCAGCCCTGCGCAAGCACTAAAAAAGTGGACCCTAGCCGCGCTATCAGCTTCCCCCGGGCATCGGCCGAACACGGCCAGGCTTCACTGCCCACCGCCCCAGAAAAGGTTCTGCTCATCTCTGCCTCCCCCGCCTGCTCTAAAGCTCTTTCGGTTTAATTCTGAGACGCCTGCAGCTGTCTGAGATTTCTGCAATGATCGCTCTTCCGCATGAGGTCTCTCCCTACGTCCGGACAGGTACCCAACAGCAACAGGGATTCGCGAGGGCCAGCGCCTGCTGCACGCCGGCCCCGCAACGCCTCCGGGCCTCCCCGAGGGAGGGACAGCGACTCACCCGCCCTGGCGGAGGGCGCCCGGGGCCGGCGCGCCCGCGAAGCCCCGTCTGGAGGGAGCGTTGGGGGTCCCGGGCTCCTGGGACGGACCGCGCGGCGCCCCCAACGCGGGTCCCCGCGGCCCACTGGCCTCCGGAGCCTCCTCCGCGGGCTCGCACCGGGGCTCGCCGCCAAAAAGACCCGTCCTGCTGCCCCGAGAGCCCCGCCCCACCCTTCGCTCGGCCTCTGCCCGTACCGCCCCGCCGAGCGCCGGGCCGGGGGACACTGGAGCCACCGGCAGTCCCGGCCGCCTCGCGGGCAGGAACTTCCGCTTCCGGCTCCGGGGCCGGAAGAGGTGAGGCTTTCGGGGATCGGGATAGGCGGAACCTCAGAGCTGGGCGGGGCGGGCCGCGTCCTCCAATCACCGGGCGGAAACACGCTAGTCCCCGCCTACCAGGAGCGCCTTTGGGCTCAGGACCGAATCCGACATCTAGGGCGTGTCTGGGGAAACAAAACGGCCCGTGGGCGTGGCTAGAATATGTTCTAAGGGCGTGGCTTGTGACCTGACTCCTCCTCTGGGCGTGGCTGTGGGCGTGGCCTCCTGGTGTTAGGTGACCGGCCTTTAGAATTTTTCTTTTCTTTTTTTTTTAAGATTTTATTTATTTATTTGACAGAGAGAGAGAGCACAAGCAGGGGGAGCAGCAGAGGGAGAGGGAGAAGCAGGCTCCCCGCTGAGCAGGGATCCCGTCGTGGGGCTCGATCCCAGGACCCTGGGATCATGACCTGAGCGGAAGGCAGATGCTTAACCAACTGAGCCACCCAGGCGCCCCTTAGAATTTTTCCTATGGCCTTTTAATTTTTTTTAAATGAAAGTGGGATCATTTCCTACACACTATTTCTGCAATTAACTTTTCTTAATAAATAGTACAATATGATAATAAATAGTACAATATGAAAATAGTACAACAAACCAACACAGAGGTATCACTTTAAAGTTAATGGATTTTTTGTGGCAATCCATTGTCAATAAAAAGTCCCTCTCAATGCAAATACTGGTCCCCCAGAACCCTTCCTAAAGACACTGTTACCAGCGCTTTGCGTAACCTTCCAAAGATGTTCTGTGTATGCACGAGCAAAAATGAATATACATATTCCCCTAATAAAAACACTTGACCCTTGAGCAACATGGGGGTTAGGGGCTCTGACGTCCCACATAGTTGAAAATTTGTGTGTCACTTTTGACTCCCCAAAAATTTAACTAATAATCGCCCACTGTTGACCAGAAACCCTACTGATAACACAAAGAGATGATTAACACATATTTAGTATGCTATATGTATTATAGACCATATTCTTACAATAAAGTAAGCTAGAGAAAAAAATATTAATATCATAAGGAAAATACATTTACACTTCGGCACTGTGTTTATTTTAAAAATCTACATATGAGTGGACCTGCACAGTTCAAACTCATGTTGTTCAAGGGTCAACTGTGCTCATCAAGCATCTTCTATTACCCAGACTGTTCTCTGCACTGGGGGATAGAGTAAATGACCACAAAAATTCCTGCCTTCATCCTTCTTAGATTCCAGTGGGGAGCAACAACAACAAAAAAACCCCATATTAATAAATAGCATATGTAATAAATATAATAATATATCCCAATGTGAACAGGGAGTGACTGTGAGTGCCTGCCCCTTTTGCTGCCTCCCTCAAGCCCTGAAAAGCTGTTAGAGTCCCATCACTCCCAGGAAAGCCCCTACCCTGTCCCCCTGCCCCCTACACACTCCCTACACTCCCCACTTCCCCGTCTGGGGACCAGCCCCAGCCTCTTCCAGGTTCTAGGCAGGATGCCGGGGGCTGACCCAAGGTGCTGAAGGAGAGGCTGGGGCAGGCCTGGGGTTATGCTTACATATTCAAGAAAGTGAAGACAATCCACAGCCTAGGAGCAAATATTTGCAAATTACATACCTGACAAGGGAATTATACCTAGAATACATAAAGAACTCCCACAACTCAATAAAAGGATAAGTCATCCAATAAAAGGAGGCAAAGGATGTGAATAACATTTCTCCCAGGAAGATATCCAGAGGGCCAATTAGCACATGAAAAGATGCTGAACATCATCAGCCACCAGGAAAATGCAAATCAAAACCACAAGGAGGGGGCACCTGGGTGGCTCAGTTGGTTGGGCCTCTGCCTTTGGCTCAGGTCATGATCTCCGGGTCCTGGGATCGAGCTCCGAGTCAGGTTCCCTGCTCAAAGGGGAGTTGACTTCTCCCTCTCCCTCTGTGATCTCTCTCACTCTCTCTCAAGTAAATAAAATATTTTTTAAAAATCCACAAGGAGATATCACTTTGCACTTGCTAGGATGGTTACAATCAAAAAGACAGACAGTAACAAGTGTCTACAATGATGTGGAAAATCAGAATCTTCACTCACTGCTAGTGGGAATGTTAAATTGCATAGCTACTGTGGGAAAGTCTGGCGGCTCCTCACATGACGAAACATAGTCTCCATATGACCCAGCCATTCTACCCGTAGGATTGTTGGAAAACACAGTTTATGAGTAAGTTTTAAAGATCTTATTGGCTTTATTTAATGACTCATGAATGGGGCAACATGTCACCTTAGCAAACAGAAAGGAGCTCCGGAGAGCTGTACAAAATGGAAGGTTTTCATAGACAGAGGGAGAGAGACACAAGGAGGTATTGGCAGAGTGGACTGGTTTCAGGCGAGGTCACCTTTCAGGGACACAAGGGGTCCATCAGCTGCCTGGCGGAGCTTATGTTCCTGGGAGAGGCTGAACTGCAGTTTGGTCAACTGTTACTCCTCTGTTTGGTGACATGGGCTTGGCACAAGTGACTCCGTTTTGGTCCTGCTGTCTCTTTAACAGCATCTAACAAAAGAACTGAAACAGTTTCAAAAGGATACTTGTACACAAATGTTCACAGTAGCATTACTCACAATGGCCCAAATGTCCACGGGCAGCTGAATGTATGAACAAAATATGGCCCAACCACGCCCTGGAATATCATCCAGGCTTTTTTTTTTTTTTTTTTTTTTTAAGATTTTATTTGAGAGAGAGAGACAGCAAGAGAGAGCATGAGCAGGGAGGGGGAGCACAAGAAGGGAGCGGCAGAGGGAAAGGGAGAAGCAGGCTCCCCGCTGAGCAGGGAGCCCAGATGCAGGACCCGATCCCAGGACCCCGGGATCGTGACCTGAGCCGAAGGCAGACGCTTAACCAACTGAGCCACCCAGGTGCCCGTCATTCAGTCTTAAAAAGATATAAAGCACTGATACACGCTACAATGTGGATGAACCTTGAAAACTTTATGAAAGAAGCCCGTCACAAGAGACCACATATTGTATGACTCTATTCATATGAAATATCCCAAAGAGGGAAATCTCTAGACACAAAATAGATGAGTGGTTGCTTAGGGCTGGGGGTGGGGGACAGGGAGACAGTATGGTGGTAGCTAAAGAGTACAGAGCTTCTTTTGGAAGTGATGAAAATATTCTAATATTGTATTCACGATTGTGCAATTCTGTGGATGCTAAAAGCCACTGGATTTTACACTTTTTATTTCAGTAAAGCCATTTAAAAAAAACCACATACACTGAACTCTAAAATACAATTTTTTGAAATGGCCTCATGTTGCTCCCACGCAGGACAGCACACGCTGCTGAAAGAAACACCACAAAAATCACAGCTTGCGGGGAACAGAGAATTGCAAGAATGAATTCTGAGAAATAACTGGAAAAAAATAAACGTGCATAAAAATGACAGAAGAATCAAATCTTCTTGACAAGGGAGTTCTGCAAAACCCGGCCAGGGAATCTTGCCATAGAAAGCAGCTTCAAAAGAGACCGGGGTTTCGGTGAATAATTTGAACAGCCACACCAGTGACAACTGAGTCGACCCTTGCAGGTGACCATGAACTCCAGAGTGATGGTACTTCCACGTCTTGGCCAACATTGGGTAAAAACAGCTCTTCTCAGGCCCTGCAGGCTGCTCCACGGGCAGTCTTATTGCAATGAAATTTAAATTTCATTGCAATTTAAAATACACACTAACTGTCTCCCTGGGCTTAAAGGACATAGGATTGTATGTGCGGAGCTCTGAAAATCCATAAAAGCAACTGGAGGTTTTGGTGGCTTTTTAGCGGCTTGACTAAGTGACTAGGGACTGGTGTGGAAGGAGCCTTGCTTTTCACAAGCACCATCTGGGACTGTACTTTGCCCCATTGTTCTCAAGGAGAATATGCTCACACAGCTGCACAAGTCATATAAGTGTTCCGGAGAAATCGAGATTTGTAAACATTCAGCTCCCAAATACACAGAGCAGCCAAACTGTGCGGTTTCTCCCCTGGACCCCTCCCACAGCTGCCCGCAGGATTCCGGAGCAAGGATGGGCGGTATGTGCAAAAGTAAAACACTGACAAAACAGACTAAAACACCACCACCAAGAAAACGGTTAAATAAGTCACGGTATGCACAGGGCAGCGGTAAGGACCTAATCACACCTCCGTGTATAGCTGGTACTCGACCAAGTCTGAGTTTGCCCTCCAGGGACATTGGCAAGGTCTGGAGACATTTCTGGTTGTCACCAATGGGATTGCTCCTAGCCTCTGGGCCAGTGAGGCAGTGAGTTTGAGAAACCCTGATGTATATATAATCAACACTAAATCTGATGGACATTAAGGAGGGAGCCCGACGCAGGGCTTGATCCCAGGACCCTGGGACCAGGACCTGAGCCGAAGGCAGACTTCTAGCGACTGAGCCTCCCAGGCGCCCCTATCAGTACTGTTTTTATTTTTTATGTACTGTTTTGTGTACTGTTTATCTGTACAAACATTTGTAGCAAATATGGGTACAGGTTAAAATTATTTATCACCTCTGTACTTTTGCTTGGAAATTATTCGTGAAAATGAAACTAATAGTCTAGCTGCCTCGTTGAGATTAAGGAAATAACCTGGATCTGAGGAAATGAACCTGGATCTGGAAAACCACTTCTCCATGAAAATTCATCAATAATAGAATAATATTAATAACAATGATATATGCCTGGTGAATGTCTGTCTACTCCACGCAAACAGGGCATCTCAGGGTGGGCACATTGAACACTGGGGGCGCCGTCCTGCTCACCGGAGGGTGCTGAGCTGCATCTCCAGCTTCCGACCACCCAACGCGAGCAGCAACACCCCACTAACCCAGGCGTCACCACCACTGTATCTTCCAACATTGTCAAATGTCACCTGGGGATAAAAGCGTCCTCAGGGTGGGAATCCCTGGTCTCACTGGACCCTCTATTTGGGTCAAAGCCCACGGTCATAACCACTTGTCATTCTGCTACGTGAAGTCAGGGGTCTACGACTGGAATATGAGGATGCCCATGATGATGAGCTGACATTATTAACAATAACCAACACTTTACACAGCACTCGTTAACCTGCCCGGTGCAGGTACCGTCATGCACTTTCATTTCACAGATGTGGCATCTGAGGCTCTGAAGGGCTCGGCAAATTGCGTGGTGTCACCGGAGAACCCATTAAGGCTTGGGGCCAGGACTGGAGCCCAAGGCTGGCGCCCAGCGAGCACAACGTCTCAGTGCCCTGGATACGAGCGGTAGGAAAAACCAACGGAGAAAAGTAAGTCCCTGCCCCGACATTCAGAGGCCGGAGAGGACAGAGG